AGTTTTGTATTTGAATTTTTTTTCTATTTTGAATAGTAAAGGCTCTATGTCTGGCTAGCGAAACGGCGAACTGCAAAAAAATTTGCTGCTTTGCCAAACTTGACGGAAATTAGAAACAAAATAATAAACAAGTTGGTGACATATTTTTTTTTTTTGCTATATGGGCATGTGTAGTATTTTGAAATAGAAAAAACCAGGCAACATTGCGAAATGATGGAAGTGGAGAGGCGGGATTATTCAGAAACATGATTCTATTGGTTAGAGCCTGAACGACAGCACGCAGTGGCGTGCTTATTGGCGAAACTAGAGAATCTTTTCTCTAATAATTTTATTGTTTTATTTCCTTGGTGTTTTCGGTGCCACTGAACTCAAAGACATGGCTGTCATCATACGGTGTCAGTTGAGGTGTCAGTGAATTTTTTAGGTAACGCCCCAGTTTTCTTCCCCCTTTCGTCTCTACCAAGTTACCACTTGCCAGACTATACGTATGGTGCCAAATATAATCAAATACCCTGTACATAAGGAATAACTCGGTTGGTATTGGAGTTAGAAGGATGCGGTTTCGGCGAACGTTGGCTACTTTTTTTGTCAAACGAACGCCATCAGAATTGTCATCGCTCTTTTTGTTTTCCAGATATAAGGTGTTTTTGAAAAAGTTTTTGGGATACTCCTTGTATCATAAACTCATTGGATAGCTCTGCTTTTGCTGATTTCAATGATATGAAATTCGATGGGTTTATCTCTACAGTTTTCGAGCACAAAATTTTTATCTGTTTTTGTCATAAGAAACAATGTGTTAGTAAGAGGCCTTCCTCATTTTCCTTACAGATGCAAAGTCCTTTTCTGACACATTGTTTCTTATGACAAAAACGGACATGATAGAAATATACCTATCGAACTTTATATCATTGAAATCAGCAAAAGCAGAGCTATTAATATACGGAGGGTGTCTCATTTGAAAAAACGTATGTCTGGTTCATAATTTGAAAACTATCACTTCTAGAGAAAAACTGACTTCGCCACACTGGAATCTACGTAGAAAGATCTATAAGAACCCGTTGTCACCTTTTCGATCGCTTATGAGAGAACCGAGATACAAGGGGTGTCCCAAAATGCAACTTTTTCAAAAACACCTTGTATCTGAAAAATTAAAAAGGCTATGACAATTTTGCTGACAGCACCTTTCGTTTGATAGAAAAGTAGCCAACGTTCGCGAAAACCGCATCCTTCTAAGTCCAATAGCAACTGAGATATTCCTTATGGACAACCAAAATGGTACACATTGTACAGGGTGTCCCAAATTCGAGGGCTAACATTGGGATGACAGTAACCGTTAGAAATACGAGGGTGGTTAAATTAGACAAAAGTTGCGCATTTATGTGCCCATCAATTTGCCGGTAAGAAATAGGAAAAAAATATATTTCTGGTTTTCGTATTCAGGTCCGTATTTAAAAATATAAAGTTGACGATGGGCCTGATTAGAAGAAACGTGAGTGTTCAAATCTAGTAGCACCATTTTATAGAGCAGAAAAAAAAGTTTTAAAAAGTGATTTTTATTTCTTTGTAGCTCTTCAAATAAAATTAAAATTAAAAACGAAAAATCAAAATTTTAGATTTTTCAAAAAATCTTAAAAACCGGAAATATTTTTTTAATGGCCGTTTGCACCCATCATTTTAAGGGAAATTTAACGCTAATCAACGCTTTAAGTGACATTTTCACATGTAAAAATGTCATTTTAAGCGTTGATTATCGTTACCTGCCTTAGGGGCTGATTCTGTAACTTGTCGTTACTTGACGACATCGTTGTGGTAACGACTTTGATGTGAACGATATTTTCGGAAATCGTATTCCGTAACCGAATCGTTACGTTCAACTTAGTGACAAATCGTAACGACAAATATCGTGTGATTTTACGAACGTTGGTAGTGCTGATCTAGCATAAGCTAACTTCATTTAGTTGTAACTGTCAGTTTTCGGTTGACGAGCTAGGCACAAACAAATGTTTCCGCGAGTATAAATTCGATGGTTCCAAACCTGATCTGATTCAAAATACTTGGGGTAAACTGACTGAGAAATTAAATTCTTTGGGGGATCCTATCAGGACTGTAGCAGGATGGAAAAGGGTAAGTTATCTGCCTTATCCTGTCCAAGTCGCATTACCTTTTTTAAATGAAAATAATGGTGGATTCAAGATTTTCAGCGATTGGAAAAGTCAAACCAGAGCAAAGGCACGAAAATATCATTTCTGATCTCATGTTCCCTATTCAATAGCTGTGCATCGTCAATTTAATTTTGATCAAGATTTTCATTTTGATCAAGATGCTCATTATCATTGTTCTCCTGTATAATGATATCTTCAGGAACCAATATATTTCTGTCCCTTATAATGTTGTGTAGAATCGCACAGGCATACACTATTCGTGCAACGAAAGCTGGATGATAATGAAGAACTCTATCAGGATGTAGGCACCTCCAGACCCCCTTCAATTCTACCTTCAGGTGCAGCGCGGACAATGGGAGTTAAAAAATAGGACAAAAGCGGGTATCCTGAGTCTCCGAGTAAATATAATCCATGGTTGCCATGAAGAAATCTCTGATGCATAAATCTTCTTGGATTACTCATCCTCCAAATAGCTGCGTCGTGAACGCCCCTGGAAACTGAGCATTTATGACCAATATTTTACAATTAGAATCGCAAATTATTTGACAGTTTATACTGTAAAAGTTCTTCCGATTTATGGATACGTTCAGTGGATATCCAAGGTCTTCACCACTTGGTGGAACTATTTTTATGTGGGAACAATCAATACACCTGATGATGCCACGAACATGAAACTTGCGATAGTATCCGGTTGTAATTTCTGCTATCTGTTGAACATTTTGGGGAAATTGGATGTATGTGTTAGCCATATGGTTAACCATAGCATTAACCACTTCATGCAAGTACCGGCTAACGTTAGCCTGCGATGATCCGTTGAACGTGTCTTCACCCACAGATTTTTGCTAGCTGCCATGAGCTAAGAAGTGAAGCGCTACGAAAAATCTAACTACAGGTGGTGTTTTGGTGTTTCTCACTCCAATATCAAGGTGCGGCAATATTTCCTGAAAAAAGTCATTAGCCGCCTCAACAATAAGCGGGTACATCCTCCTAAAAACGTTCTCAAGCAATTCAAAAGGATTACTATTATCTATCAACCGGCGGAACGCATTTCTTTTTTGCTCTCTGAAATTTCGTATGGTTTTGACGAACCTTTTTTGTAATTCATCCAACATGCGATCTAACAAGTCGTTCATCGTCGATATTTTATATTATTTCACACTTTATTGTTTTGAATGATCACTCACAATAAAAAAAAAAACTCTGAACGACTGCCTGAGAGTTGCCGCTAACAAACGATGAAAACTGTCACTTCTCAACGACTGTCGTTCGCTACAGAATAAGTAAAGTCGTTCAGTAACGATTATCGTTGGATACATAATACTAATGTCGTTCAGTAACGATTGTCGCTCACTAACGACGTCGTTATGAGTTACAGAATCAGCCCCTTAATATGGTCAGTGCAATCGGCCATAAATTTCTTACTGGCAAATTGTTAGGCACATGAATGCGCAACTTTTGTCTAATTCAACCACCCAATATCTCCATGTTGACGAGTTTGCGACACCCTGTACAACCAAAACGGGACACCTCGAATTGGTAGTCGAATTGAAATTAAGTAAATAAATAAATTAAATAAATAAATAAATTAATGTCTTTTATTTGTTATCGACAATTATTACAAATATTAGTTTGTGAAATGGTGGCGAGATCTAGCTTAGAGCTACTCTTATCTAACCATGCTTCAACCTAATAATAATTGAAGAATAATTTGATAAAGTAACTAATCTAAAGACAGTATAAGCAGATTGACGTGATATATAGATAACTTAAAAAGTAGACATAAATACACGGATCTTATAACATTTATACGTAATAATCATTCCCTATTTCCACGAACAAATGTTCTTAGCTTATTTTTAAAGCCAGGTACTTGACTATTATAGTTTGGTAAAAATATAAGCCGCCTATGAGAAAAGTTTATTTGTTTCTATCACATTTGCTTTTATCCAAACTATGCTTTCAAGATATCAATCAGGAGAAAAACTTGCTGTCATCTATAATTTTAAACATGAAAGTCTAATTCGACTGGATAAGTAATCATGAAACGATTAAATCGCAATTACGATTAATCTGCGATTAGTCTTTTCTGATGAATATCCTAATCGACAATGATTTCACAGGTTCGCATCACAATTATTTTAACACATCGGGGATTATTCAAGCAGCTTTAAGAGCCAGTCTGAGTCCAAACAGTCTCGAAATGTTATGTTTTCTGAATAAACATTGTTAGTTATCTGAGATTGATTACACAACTGTTTACCTTTTATTTACAGCTTAAAATATGAACATCGATTATTATTCAAGCATTTAGCCTTGGGCTTTTTCAACTTTTGTATTAAAGTTTGTGCTTCTCTCTATTATTGATTTTATTGTGTATTTGTTTTTTTAATGTTATCTGAATGCGATTTGTATAGGGCTTTTTCAATTTGTCGTTATAAAATGATCTTTTATTATCAAAAAATACGTGCACATTATCAAATTTATATCTGGACATTATTTGACTGACAAATGCAATACAATTTATATTATTTTTGTGCCTAAAACAATAGCAACGTATCCAATATGTCAATAATAATTGAAGTCTCAGACGTATATGTGTATATGCACTGGTTACAACCAGAGATTCCATCGCTACAGAATTTTATTTACTCTTCCTCAAAAACAATAGGAAAAAGTGTAGGCCTAGTAAAAAGTGTAGATAATATTTTGTCAAAATTACACGTAGGTTAGTTATGCCGCCTTTAATACTAGCAAATATTTGAACAAACAGAGGTACTTATATTACGATTGTGCATGATACATTTATTTATGTCTTAAAATTTCCGAGAATTAGACTATATGGTGATTGCAAAAGAAAATATAACAATATTGCGTAATTTAGACTTTTTGGAAGTATCGTTAACATTGAACTATGTAAATTGTACATAATGAACAATTTTTTTTTTCAGAGAGTTGCCAAATCCCTTATGTACGTACCAACTGTACCAGAGTTTCGTCAATGCGGTCCAAGGATGCGGTACTGCTATCAAAAACACCGAGACTGATCACGAGAGACTTTTGAAGATGCGAGAAGCTGTACAAAAGCTACCTCCCCCACATTACAGGTATGGATTACATATAGAAAATTATCAGATTGGTTTTATTATGTAATAAAAAATTATGAATTGTAAATCAAGTCGTTGCAATAAAATAACGTCAATGCTTGACGTAATTTTATTGCAATGACCAACTCGAACATTTTGAAACCTATATTATTAATTTCATAAAACATACCTCAACTTATAGTAACTTAGCAGCAAGAATTTTGTAAACTAACACGGATTCCGGGGCTGCGTTCAGGAATGGCTACAGCCAAGCCAAAATTGGCATTTTGCGTTCGAGCTCGGCTCCAACCTACGTGGTTTGGCATTACCGTTGGAGGGGAAAAAGTAGGTTTTGGCATTAGCTTTGCCGTCCTTGAACGCACTCCTGGACCACTGAAACTCACTTCAATACAATAACAACTTTTGTTGAACAAATTGTATACAAAAATCGATTTTCAATTGTACACAACAAAACTCGTGTTTGAACTGACTTCATTCAAACTGACCACATTACAGATGTGATCGCAGTCCGAATTTATCTCTAGAATTTAGTTATCGAATATAATGGAATTATTAGAATAGAGGCACTCTAGACCTAAAGAACAATGATGAATTCTTGAAATTTGGCCTGGTTCTTGATCATAAACGCAACTAGGGGGGTGCTTGGGGATGCTAAGCACCCCTAAAGCAAAAATTAGCACCCCCATTCGGCATCCCACCATAGCACTACCTACAGTGGTACTACCTAACAATATAAAAAATTAGCGCAACCAAATGATTTTTTTTTTTGCACTTTTTGTACGTACTTACGTCATCGATGACGTCATAATTTGGAAAAAAGTATTTGTCGTTGATTAATGGATAGAGCACGTTTGGAATTATTATTGTTATAGAATAAAATTATTCAACCGGGACCGGTATTACAATATTACCTTAAAATCAAAACTTACCCTAAAATATAGGGTTTTTATGTTATATTTAAGATGACGTCATCGAACAAGATCAGACAATGTTGTCAATAGGATTGCCAGGCGTCCTGGATTTCGCAGGATGTCCTGGATTCAGGGTCTTGCGTCCTGCGTCCTGCCGAAGTTGTCCGCAGGAAATTACTACTATTTCGGCTGAGCTATTTTATAATTTACCGTGAGAGGCGCGAAAATGCACCCGCGCGGTACTCCGCACGAAAATTCACCACCAATTCACCAATAGGAACGCGGAGTACGCGTATGCGGCATGGCGTGACAAAATAGGTTTGTTGCAACTACGCAAAAATTTCAAGTTTTGCGCAGAATACTGACAGTAATATTATGGTTTCCTGCTGGGTTGGAACAAAGCTAATGACAATCATTTGACCAATAACATAAATAGAAGCGCAAAGCGCGATCAACTTGCAGCTCAAACTCTTGGAGGTGGCGCGCATTATTTTAATAATTGATCCTGTAACAGCTTGTTTAGTGTTTAATCAAATTAATTTTGATATTCTTGGTAAGTCTGTAAGTCCATGATTGGGAAAACAAGTGAAACTAAGTAAGTATACCTACCGTGATCGTATTTAATTTGAACCCCTTTAGGTATTATTTAACGTATTTTTGGGTATTATAAATATTATTTTAGGAAAATAAAAACGTCCTGATTTTTTCATCACTGTCCTGTATTTTCTCAACACATGTCCTGCCAATTCAATTTTCAAACCTGGCAACCCTAGTTGTCAATGTCTATGTTTATTCTATATCTTAAGATAACATTGAAATACCGGCCCTTAAAAAATCATTGGAATCCCAAATATATAAATTAAATAATGGCGTATTATACTGGGTGTTCCTAAATATCATATACAAACGGCAAAGGGTGATTCCTTGTTTTTTTTTATGACTGAAATCACAAATACACTCATCAAAAAAGTCTAGGGAACAAGAAATATTCGTCTTTTAATTTTTAGACAGAATAACTTTTTTTAAAAAGATACCATATGGGTATTTGTTGAACAAATCTTGTAAAATTTATCATATCGGCTTTTCCAGCAGGCTTTAAAAAAATTTAAAAATCTTTTAAAAGTATATTTTGTTCAATTTATAAATGTATTCAGTTGTATCTTGTTCCCTAGACTATTTTGATGTGTGTATGTTCTAGAAAATTGACTTATTTAAGCAAAATTAAAAAAATTCGCCCTCTTACATTTTAATTTTTTTTCTGTAAAACTGGCAAAGGGAAAATTTTGAAAATTTTCCAGGAATAAGAGGAAAATGAGGAGCTCATCATTTTCCGAAAATGTCAAAATTTTTCAGTAAAAAATCACTCCAGGAAAAATGTTGAAAAACTAACTTTTTTGAGCAAAATTAAGGAGAATTTACCCTCTTACATTTTAATTTTTTTCTAGAAATCTGGCAAAGGGATAATTGTGAATTTTTTCCAGAAGAAAAAAAAAGTGAGGATCTCATTATGGGAAAATTTCAAAATTTTCCAGTAGAAAATCACTTCAGGAAAAATTCTGGGAAATTGACTTCCTTAGGCAAAATTCACCCTCTTACATTTTAATTTTTTTCTAGGAAACTGGCAGGACAGAAAAAAGCGGAAAGTAAAGAACTCATTATAGCAAAATTTTAAAGTTTTCCAATGAAAAATCACTCCATAAAAAATTCTGGAAAATTTACTTATTTAAGCAAAATTAAGGAAAATTCACCTCTTACATTTTAATTTTTTTCTGGAAAACTGGAAGAGGAAAAATTTTTAAAATTTTACAGGAAAAATAGAAAAGTGAGGAGCTCCATATAGGGAAATTTTGAAACTTTCCAGTAAGACTTTTTCAAGTAAAATTAAGGAAAATTCATCCTCCCACATTTAAGTTTTTTTCTGGAAAATTGGCAAAAGTGAAAAAAGAGGAAAGTCAGGAACTCATTATAAGAAAATTTCAAATTTTTCCAATGGAAAATCGCTCCAGGAAAAATTCTAAAATAAACAAAATTTATCCTTTCACATTTCACACACACACAAGTGAGGAGCTCATTATAGGAAAATTTCAAAATTTCCCAGTAAAAAATTCTGGAAAATTGACTTTTTCAAGTAAAATTAGGGAAAATTCATCCTCTCACGTTTCAGTTTTTTTTCTGGAAAATTGGCAAAGCAAAAATTGTGAAATTTTTCCAGGGGAAAGAGGTAAATGAGGAGCTCATTATAGGAAGATTTCAAGATTTTCCAGTGGAAAATCATTACAGAAAAAATTCTGGAATATTAACTATTTTAAGTAAAATTAAGGAAAATTCATCCTCACACATTTCAGTTTTTTTCTGGAAAGATTGTAAAATTTTTCCAAGAAAATGGGGAGCTCATTATAGCATAATTTCAAAATTTTCCAGTGAAAAATCACTCTAGGAAAAATTCTGGAAAATTCACCTTTTAAATTTTATTTTTTTTTCTGAAAAACTGGCAAAAAAAAATTTTTGAAAATTTTCCAGGAGAAAGAGGAAAATAAGGATCTCACTATAGGAAAATTTCAAAATTTTCCAATGAAAAATCACTCCAGGAAAAATTCTGGAAAATTGAATTAATTACGCAAAATTAACGAAAATTCACCCTTTCACATATTATTTTCAAAATTTTCCCTTTGCAAGTTTTCCAAAAGAAAATTAATATGTGAAAGGGTGAATTTTCGTTAATTTTGCGTAATTAATTCAATTTTCCAGAATTTTTCCTGGAGTGATTTTTCATTGGAAAATTTTGAAATTTTCCTATAGTGAGCTCCTTATTTTCCTCTTTCTCCTGGAAAATTTTCAAAATTTTCCCTTTGCAAGTTTTCCAAAAGAAAATTAATATGTGAAAGGGTGAATTTTCGTTAATTTTTCGTAATTAATTCAATTTTCCAGAATTTTTCCTGGAGTGATTTTTCATTGGAAAATTTTGAAATTTTCCTATAGTGAGCTCCTTATTTTCCTCTTTCTCCTGGAAAATTTTCAAAAATTTTTTTTTGCCAGTTTTTCAGAAAAAAAAATAAAATTTAAAAGGTGAATTTTCCAGAATTTTTCCTAGAGTGATTTTTCACTGGAAAATTTTGAAATTATGCTATAATGAGCTCCCCATTTTCTTGGAAAAATTTTACAATCTTTCCAGAAAAAAACTGAAATGTGTGAGGATGAATTTTCCTTAATTTTACTTAAAATAGTTAATATTCCAGAATTTTTTCTGTAATGATTTTCCACCGGAAAATCTTGAAATCTTCCTATAATGAGCTCCTCATTTACCTCTTTCCCCTGGAAAAATTTCACAATTTTTGCTTTGCCAGTTTTCCAGAAAAAAAACTGAAACGTGAGAGGATGAATTTACCCTAATTTTACTTGAAAAAGTCAATTTTCCAGAATTTTTTACTGGGAAATTTTGAAATTTTCCTATAATGAGCTCCTCACTTGTGTGTGTGTGAAATGTGAAAGGATAAATTTTGTTTATTTTAGAATTTTTCCTGGAGCGATTTTCCATTGGAAATTTCCCTTGTGCATATTTAATTCAATTTTTTCAATTCAATTCAATTTTTATTGTTTCCAGAAAGTATTTTCTATAACAATAACATATTTAACTGGAAATTTACCTCGTAATTTTCAAAAATTGATAAGTGGAAATATCCCTGGTGAGCGGGATATTTCCGGGTGCAATTTCCAATGCGACAATGCCGCGCGGCGTCTGTCGGAAACCCACCTTTAGGTTGTCATTTTTGGCATTGAGACCAGCTTTTCCATTTAAAATGCATTGATGTCAGAAATCTGACAAAGTGTATATTTTTTGACAAACGCAATTTAAATGGGAAATATCAAGAACAATCACCATCACAGAACACATCATCATAATTAAAATATTCGCCACAACTTATAATAAATAAACTTCAAACTCGGGAAATTTCCTATCAAAATATAACACGTGCATAAAATATTTCCTAAGGGAAATTTTTAAAAATTTGGTCTTTAGTCAATTTTTTTAAACAAAACCATTCGTGCATAGCGCCAAAGAAAAAATCCCTCACCCTTCGGGTTCGGGATTTTTTCAGGCGCTATGCACTCATGATTTTGTTAAAAAATTGGCTTCAGACAAAATTTTCAAAAATTTCCGGAAATATTTTATGCACTAGTTATATTTCTACTGGAAATTTCCCTTGTGCATATTTAACTGGAAATTTACCTCGTAATTTTCAAAAATTGACAAGTGGAAATATCCCTGGTGAGAGGGATATTTCCGGGTGCAATTTCCAATGCGACAATGCCGCGCGGCGTCTGTCGGAAACCCACCTTTAGGTTGTCATTTTTGGCATTGAGACCAGCTTTTCCATTTAAAACGCATTGATGTCAGAAATCTGTCAAAGTGTATATTTTTGACAAACGCAATTTAAATGGGCAAGATCAATAACAATCACCATCACAGAACACATCACCATAATTAAAATATTCGACACAACGTATAATAAATAAACTTCAAACTCGGGCAATTTCCTATCAAAATATAACACGTGCATAAAATATTTCCTGAAGGAAATTTTTAAAAATTTCCGGAAATATTTTATGCACTAGTTATATTACTACTGGAAAATTACTCCAAGAAAAATTTTGGAAAATTTGACTTTTTTAAGTAAAATTAAGAAAAATTCATCATCTCACATTTCAATTTTTTTCGGGAAAACTGGAGAGGAAAGATTGTGAAATTTTTCCAGGAGAAAGAAGAAAATGGGGAGCTCATTATACAATAATTTCAAAATTTTCTAGTGAAAAATCACTCCAAAAAAAATTCTGGAAAATTGCTTTATTTAAGTGAAATATAGGAAAATTCACCCTCTTACATTTAAATTTTTTTTCAGATAACTGGCCAAAGGAAAATTGTGAAAATTTTTTAGAAAAAAAAAGAAAGTGAGGAGCTTATTTGAAAATTTTCCAATGAAAAATTACTCCAGGAAAAATTTTGTAAAATTGACTTATTTAACCAAAATTAAGGAAAATTCACCTCTTACATTTAAATTTTTTTCTGGAAAACTGGCAACGGAAAAATTTTGAAATTTTTACAGGAGAAAGAGGAAAGTGAGGAGCTGATTAGAGGAAAATTTCAAAATTTTCCAGTGAAAAATCACTCCAGGGTCCTTATTCTTGAAACTGGGGAGCAGCGTTCCCAAGAGAACGAGTGTTCCGTCTTTGTTACTTATGTTATCATTTGCATATCATTGAGAAAGACGGAACACTCTCCTGGGAACGCTGCTACCCTGTTTCAAGAATAAGGACCCTGAAGAAATGTATTTATATATTTTCGGATAACTGAATAAACTCTATTCTAAGTTAAAAAATGTATTATAAAACAATAATTCCCAAGGTACTCTATGAATTAATCTATGATTCAACTTTTTCTCCAAGTTATGACGTCATCGATGACGTAAGTACAAACCTTTGTGCAACAAACTATATGTTTGTTTGAAATTTCAGACATAAAAAACCAATTTTTCAAAAAACAAGCAAATGATGACGTAAGTACAAACCCTTGTGAAACTAACATTTTCTCATTTCCTTTTCATCGAACCCCATGAAAAAGAAAAAAAAAATGGTGCAGCACCCCTCAAATTTGGAGCCTAGTTGCGCTTATTTTCTTGATGCATTTTCTTAAACAAACTATGTATCATTTCATACTGTACTATCATTCGAGTCTGTGAAAAAACTCCTTAAAGTACTGAGTCTGGAAAGTTTAAAAAGCATGTTGGTTTAACTGGTGTGTCATTTTTAACGGTCTTTCTTTGTGATTATGGATACAATTTCATTAAAAAGATTCAATTTTTCTCGATTTATATGATTTATATTATTCTCAGAACTTTGGAGTACGTTATGCGACATCTCGCCAGAGTATCAAATCATAGTGGCAGTACAGGAATGACGACTAGGAATTTGGCCATCGTTTGGGCCCCGAATTTGCTGAGATGCGAAGCTTTGGAAGTTGGCGGAGTTGCCGCCCTTCAAGGAGTTGGAGTACAAGTAAGTGAAAATGTTTCAGTTTGTGTAAAGAAAAAACATAGAGGATACAACTTTGAATTCAGGTTATAGGACGGAATTTACTTACCGCTAAAAAATAAACATTCAAAAATATATGATTGATTAAACATTTAGACAACCAAATCAATGGCATTTGCACTTCTTCAAGCAACATTCACTTCATCTCAGGTATACATGATGCCAAAAGGATTGAGCTCTGTGGCGAGTCTTTCTTGCTTTTTGGTTCGTAGTTTTTTCTTGTTAATTGCCCATACATTTTCTATACGCAAAATATGTAGGTGTTCGTAATTTGGCCAAAACTTCGACAAATCGTAGCAGATATACATAATATTTATTGATTATATTTATTCGCGATCGGCATCACAGGAAACTTGGCATTAAAATTAGGAAATTTATGAGGAATGGGTTTCAAGTATCTTGGATACAAATGAAAGTACAATTTACTTGACTAATGTCCAACTTGCTCTACTGTTGTTGAGGCAAAATGGATACAACCTTAATCTGTGCAGTGTCGATTATTTTTACTATCAGAGGAATTTCAAAGGTTAATAACACACACGGTTTGTAAAGAAGCACTCAAAATAATTCCAAAACATATTTATTTTGATGTTTAAAAAATAATGTACATATAACCTATTATTTTCTTACAATAATATCATCTTATTTACTACAGATTTGTGTACCCAAATGCATTATAAATTATTATACAAATACACACAATGTTATTCAGATAGCTCAAAACAAAGGTCAGTGTAGCCTGAATCCCATCAAAATATTATTGATTGGTTTATATACTAGAAAAAAAATTGACAAAAACACGGAAATTGAATTCTACTCGAAAATACTGTAATAATATTGAGTCCTGTTTGATAAATCAGAAGAAATGCCAATGAATTTTTTATGGTAGTCTTAAGTTAAGGCGGTTACACACAGGGTTGTTCTTGCGGAATCATCGTGTCTGCCTGTAGCAGCACTCAAATAGTGCCAAATAGTGCTACTTACTTAATATAAAGTAATGGGAGAGGATTTTTTGATTTTTCACCCATTTCTTTTTATTAAATGATTAAAAGGAGAAAGATATAATATATTTCATACATTAAATTCTCTATAATGACAATTGTCAGTCACGTCACTATCACTAATCTTAACTTTACTCACATCCAAGGAGAATATTCACATCGACAGATCCCAAGACCGACGGATCCACCACAATTCTCACAGGCAGGTCTTAGGTCACTAGCACAGAAATAAAATGAACAAAAAATAGAATAGAATAGAAATAAACAAAAAATCCTGCTCCAGGTTTAGTCTTTCTCATCTTAAAAATTTTAAAAGGATAATACTTATCTAATAAATGTGAATCGTGCCAAATTTTTCAAAGTGGTGCCACCGTGCATTTTGCGGGCGAAAAGTGCCACTTTTGGCACAATTGTGCCCTTTGAACAACACTGGTTACACACGGACGTGGATCTCTTAATACATATACGTGCATACATCAAAGTGCAGACAACAACGTGCATGGCGCTTTTGTACAGACGCTCGCACAAAACTGCAGTCTTGCTATTCTTACTACAGTATTCCGAGTGTGCATACAAAATTGCACATTCAAAAACGCGACGGTATTTTGCATACACATTGATGTTTTTGTTTGCGCGTTCATGTATGTGCGTACATGTTTTCAGACATCCACGTCCGTGTGTAACCGCCTAATATTTTAACTTCAGTTACCGAGGAATTTAATTAGTGGTAAATAGAATTTAATTAAATATTTGGGAGAAGCTAGACTCTATTCTTTCTAATTATCAATAGTTATATAACGAGTGCAATGGAAATTATCGATAATTTTTAGGAAATTTGCGCGAATGCATTTTTAATTGAAAAAGAGCACGAGTACTTTTTTCAGTTAAAATTACATGAAAGCAAATTTGTCAAAAAGTATAGATATATTTCCATTGCACGAGTTGTATTTTATGAGAGAATTCCATAAATCAAAAATTTAATTTATCTACGAGTATTCAATAATAGACGCATTTTGTTTGCGTGATAGTAACCACATCACATGATGATATTCATATTACACACCTGTGGAATATGAATCTCATATTCCACACCCGTGGAATATAGGTAAAGTTTGTTTTTTATTTAAAGATAATTCCCCAAGTCAAAAATTTAGTAACTATGTTGGCAACACAAGCCTTTTCTACATTAAAAATTTGAAAGCATTGACAATTTTACATTTTTATACGTATTCCATAACATGATAGCGTTCCAAAATAGAAACGAGCTTGTTTGGATTGTTGCGAGGGGTGAATAGCTCTTGCAGTCGGTGTACATATTTCTCACAATCTTCACACAATCATTCACAATCGTTCACAATCGTTACACAATCTCACACAATCTGTCACAATCGTTACACAATCTCTCACAATTGTGTCACAATCTCTCACAATCATATCACAATCTCCCACAATCGTTGCACAATATCTCACAATCGTAACACAATCGCTACACAATATACCACCATCTGTCGCACTTGGGGTTCCTCCAAGGGCCGGTTTCTCAATAGAAACTCACCCCCAGGTTAAGCATAACTCCAGGGTAAACATTGCAACTGGACACACTTACCCTGGAGTTAAAACCAACCCGAAGGTGACTCGCTATTGAGACACCGGCCCCAAATAGTTTATTTACTTTATTTTTGCTCGTAATAATAGGCTCTTTTGATGAGCTAACTTTTGTATGCCACCTCCTGCAGCATAGATTTCTGAACTTCGTCGTACTGAATAGGGAAATACTAAGGGAAATACCCATAAACCATAAAACAAGCATAAATATCTGAGGAAATATCGGAGTATATCAAGAAGGACCTAGGTTTCTCTACTTTTTTGAGTTGACAATAAATTAACAATCTTTATTTAAAGAATTATCAATAAAAAGCCAAAAAGTTTCACATAAAAACCAAAAAGAATTGACCCTTAATCCAAGTTATATGGAAAAAAGGGAAACTACTATAAGTAAGGAAAACTTCTTTATGTTGGCTGTTTTCAGAAAAATATGGGAAATTACTAAAGGTGAGGGAGAAAGATGCCAAAAGAAGAGAAAGCAAAACAAATAAACAAAATGAAAGAAGTAATAGAAAAATTGAGAAAAAAAATAGAGAGAAAAATAGTAAAAATTAAGAAAAAAAGAAACTTAAAAAATACTAAAACTGCAAGAAAAGCTAATCTGCAAAAAGTACAAAATGTAGACTAATTGAGGATTGATGATGAAACATCAGAATCTCGATCACAATCAACAAAGTCATTATCTAGCCTTCATGATTTAGAAGGTGGAGAGGAATATTTCAATGAAGCAGAAGAGCAGCTTGAAGAACTTGAAGTAGATTGGTAATATGCAGTTGCCTACTCTAGCAAATACCACATTGGAAAATTGACAAAAGTATAGAATGTCAGATAACTTTTTTAGAAGTCTTTAGATGGCCTAAAAATCTAGACCTGGACCTTGTAGAAAAAATATATATTATATATGGTCCAATGTCCAATGTCCAATCCATTTTAAAAACTTGAGTCGCAAAAAATTAACAACATTTCCAAGGAAATAAAATCCTAATTTGAGTACTAACTAAAGTACTTTTGTATTTATCTCACAACAATTTTTTTTTTTTATTCGTCATCATCTTCCTGTATCATTAATTAAAACTTTTATCTGTCACTAAGTAAGATGATTTTTTCAAATTCAAACACCCGGTATATATTTAAAAAATTTCGATTCCATAGGGGGCGCAGAAAAAATTCATGTTTCAAGTGTGATGCACAACTTTCAAGAGCGGTTGAAGATGTGCGCCCACAAAGCAGGGTGACACTTGACTGACATTATTTTCCATCATTAATTTAAAAGCGCACTATTATTACTTCATTTAGCTGTAATTGAAAATTAAAAAATGTTATGCTTGTAGGTACCTACGTGAAAAACATGCGTTTCCTCTGGGCCACCCTGTATAGGGTGTCCCATTTTGGTTGTACGTAAGGGATAACCCGGTTGCTATTAGAGTTAGGAGGATGCGGTTTTTGTGAACGGTGGTTACTTTTCTACCAAACAAAAGATGCCGTCGACAGAATTGTCATTTTTGTTTTTCAGATACACGGTGCTCTTGAAAATGTTGCATTTTGGGACAGCCCTTGGTATCTCAGTTCTGAGTGATCAGATGACAACTCGGGTGACAATAGATTCTTATAGATCTTTTTATGTAGATTCCAGTGGCGTGGTCAGTTTTTCTCTGGAAGTGATAGTTTATGAGACCTTTATCATTTTCCTTACAGATTTAAAGTTTTTTTCAAACAAATTGTTGTTTATAACAAAAACAGACATAATAGAGATAGACCTATCGAACTTTATATTATTGAAATCAGCAAATGCAGAACTATCCAATAAGTTTTAAACATACAGTGCGTCTCATTTGAAAAAAGTACCTATGTTTGGTACATAATTGAAAAACTCTAACTTCTAGAGAAAAACTGACTTCGCCATTGGAATCTCTGTCGAAAGATCTATAGGAACTCGTTGCCACCTTTTGGAACACTTATGAGAGGATCGAGATAAAAAGGGTGTCCCAAAATGCAACATTCTCAAAAACACCTCGAAAAACACCTTGTAACTGAAGAACAAAAAGGGGGATGACAATTTTCTTGACGGCAACTTTCGTTTGACAAAAAAGTAGCCAACGTTCGCGAAAGCCGCATCCTTCTAACTTTAATAATAGCAACAGAGATATCCTTTATGTACCTACAACCAAAATAGGACACCCTGTACAACTTCTCAATCCGAGTAATGTGTAAAAGAGAGATAAAAATACTGAATATTCTTAACACATTAGGTCTGTTTCCACAGAAATCACAAACCAGTCAGAGCATTTTTGATTGGTCCAAATCGCCAACAACCAGTTTCCTGACTATTTTCAACCAATGAAATTCGCTTTGACTGGTTTGTGATTTCTGTGGAAACAGACCTATTGATTATGGTGATATTTTTTAATTTGTTAAAATTAGAGAGAAAATGTAGTTTTGATATTTTGTTGTTTTGTTCTAACCCAATTAATATACATAGTCTTTACACAATCATTCACAATCCTTACATAATCAGTCACAATCACCCACAATCACTCACAATTGTGACACAAACAATCACAATCGCTCACAATTATTCACAATCCTTACACAATCAGTCACCATCATTCACAATCATTCACAATCGTACACAATCACTCACAATCGTACACAATCACTCACAATCTTAGCAAATTTCCTTAAAGATTGTGGAATTTGGCAGTCGGTGTACATATTTTGGGGCAGCTATTCACCCCTCGGATTGTTGTTACTAGGGCAACTTAAATATTTGATTTTGACAAAATAAGTATATTAGACGTTTGCAGTTTTCAGTTTCGCTTAAATTATGTTGAATGCGAGTTTGTCATGCAAGTAATCACTTTTAGTGCGTTTGTAGAAAAAATAGTGTATGATATTCGTGCTAAAAGTGATTTTATTTTGTTCAAAGGGATGAAACACTCCGCCTTCGGCGTCGTGTCCCAAACTTCCCTTTTCACAAAATAAAATGTCACTTTTAGCACTTATATCATAAATAACTATTATATAACTGAAAATATTAAGGGTGCCCGGAAGGATGTAGCTGCGAAAACAGTTCAAACTTTTAGCAATAAGAATAATTTTTTATAGATTCGCCTCCAATAAGCAAAATTTCACTAGGTTAAATCTTAATTGTAAATCTCTAATCACAATAAGTCTGAATTATCTCTGTTGTTATTAAATATCCACTCCCTAAGAAATAAGTGTAATG